AGACATGGGCTTAACCAGCCAAGTGTTTCCTTCATGACTTGTAGGACAGTTTGGCAAAAGCATGGGAAATTAGGAAGTCCTATATGTCATTGTTGGGAATAGGAGGGCATGCTTCAATACAGTGACCCCATTTCTAGGCAAGTATTCTAAGAAGTTATCAGAAAGGGCACCAGTAGTTTTCTTGTATATCCATGAACAAAACCCCTAAGAAATTACAGGCATTTAACCATTTAAACCTATAAATATGGTAATTTCATATAGTTTTACTTAACAGAACAGCATTTGAGGACACTCTTAAAATCCAAGTGGGATTGTGGATCAGTTGAACTTTTACATCACACACACTTTACACACACACACACACACACACACACACAGGCAGAGTTTTCCTGTGCCAAGGCTGCTTTTTAAATAACCAACACGGAGACTCAATATTAATGACAAATGCTCAGTCCATAGCTTGGGCTTGTTACTAGCTGACTTTTATACTTAAAATTAACCAATGTTTCTTATCTAGGCTTTGCCTTATATCTTAGTACCTTTTCTCAGTATGGTGTAACCATCTTGCTCTCTCTGCATCTCCTGGTGACTCTCTCACTCAGTCCCTCTTCAACCCAGTATCATCAGGTTGATTGTCCTTCCTAACTTTACTATAGGCCAATCAGCTTCTTTATTAACCAATGAGAATAATACATAATCACAGTGTACAGAATGATTATTTCATAGCACACATATAGTCATGTTTCTATATCCATGTATTTCATACCTTCAAATTTTACCAAAGATCAAAATACTTAAATTCTTATGTCTATTTTGCATATTCACAAACCTTTTTATTGTGTGGCCTAGATATTACACTATAATATTTACTAATACATAATAATTTACTGTATTAGGCATTACAGTACCTATAAATGCTTTAAAGTATCCAGGATCATGTTGTGTAGGGTATATGCAAACGCTAGGTCACCCTGTATGATGGACTTGAGTGTTCACAAGTTGGGCATCTTTGTGGAGAAACTGGAGTCAATCTCCTGAGAATATTGATGGGTAACTTCTTTTGTGTGTGTGTATGTGTGTGTGTGTGTGCGCGCGCGCGAGCGTGCATTCTTCTCTTGTCTTATTAAATATTTGACAATTTTTGACAATTTCATATACAGGGTTTTTAAAATTACATTCACCTACCCATTCCCACCTCTCACTCCCTTCTCTCTCCTACCTTCCTCCTTCTTTCCAGCTAGTTTCTGTTTTACCCTCATGTCCCTCCTTCTTTTCTGTTCAGGCAATCACAGCTGCTATGTGTCCATGATTGTAACAGTCCTGCTATATCCAAAGACACTACCCCACTGCCCTCCCCCCCCCCAGTCTTTCAGCTCCTACAGATGCCAACCATCTGTAAGTCAACTACTGGTTGATAATTAAACAATGATGTCAAACAGACACACACTCTCAAAGACAAGTCTTAAGAAACTCATGTTGGGTGTGGGTGACACATACCTACAGTCCTAGAGCTTGGGAGGTGGAAACAGGAAGACTGATTGGACTTAGGCGTTCTAAATCAATGTGGGCAACACAGTGAGTTCCTTTCAAAATAAAAAGACTTAAACACAGTACAGATGAAGGCAAGAAAGGATTCTAAAGAGCAGCAGTGTGAACTTGAAACCAAAGGGCAGAAAACAAGGAGAGAGATCTGAGTTCTGCCAATTTAGGAAAAGATGGGTGACTCCAGGAAAATTACCTCAGGCTCAGTGGGCTCAATTAAAAAAAAACTTACTTTGTCTTGATAATAAAAGGAGAAAATATACATGAAATATTTTCATAGGTAACTTATAAAGAACAATTATACATTATGTCACCCAAAATTGTTTTATTTCTGATAACAACAACAACAAAAAAATCAGGTAAGCTAAAAACTTCCTGAAGAGGATTATAGAGATTACTACAGGGGGGCAAGGACATGTGTTTACATTACTGCTGAAGTATACAGGTCTAATTTGGAAGTCTCCCAAACTGTATCTGATGAGAGGGGGGAATGCCATTATCACTGAAATGACAAATTAAAAGTAAGCCAGTCATGGTGGTACATTGCATCACTCTGGAGAAGATAGGATAGAAGGTTGGCCAGTGTTTCATTGAGATCCTATCTCAAAATAGCAAAACCAAACAAAGCAAAGAACCTTCCATTTTTTGTTATTACTGCAGTTTTCAAGCATACATGGCATTTCTAGTTCTACAAAGCAGCATATTAGCTTTTCTCTTAAAACACACACACACACACACACACACACACACACACACACACCAAAACAAACAAGTAACAACAAATGAAAACAGAAAACAGATCAGGGACTGGGTAAATGGCTTAATGAATTGCTTTACAAGCATGAGAATCTAAATTTAATCCCAACACTGACATAAAAAATAAGATGCTGACCTGGTGCTATGTGCTTGTAATCCTAGAAAAGGAGAGACAAAGACAGGTAAATCCCTGGGGTTTACTGGACAGATAGCCTAGTGAGCTCTAGGCCAGTGAGAGACCCTGGCTTAAAAACAAAACAAACAAAACTGAAACAAAGGACAAGAAACCAAACAAACACAAAAAAGCTTAGGACAGCCCCTGGGAAATGATACAACCGTTGTTGTCTGCCTACCATGCACGTGACATACACATCCATGCACATGTGCACACAGAAGAATATACACATACACACGTACACACATACATGGCAGAGACCAAATTTGCAGAAGTGAAAACCCTGTGCCATTTCTGGGCTTCTCTCTGTCCCAACTCCAACCGTGCCCTGTGTGAGTCAGGACTGAGCAAAGTTGAGGGGTATGTGTATCCAGAGCTGAGCAGACACATACAGGTGAGTGGTATGTGTATATTCAACTGCTCCTTCAACCTTTTGTGAGGATAGTGTCCTTCATTCCAGATGACATCAACTTGAGCTATGCTGACAACTCTGGGATTATAGTCTGTACTGACAGAAACAGAACAAATAGCACATGTCTTTATCTGTAAGTGGGCTTATTTGAAGGAATTTGCTCATGTGATTATGGAAGCAACTGGCAGGCTGATGACCCTAGGATGAGTTCAAAGGCTGTCTGCTGGGATGGATTTCTCTTTCATAGGAAGAGGTCAGTCTCTTCTCCATCTAGCCCTTTGACTGACTGACTGAGACCTGTGATGGTTAATGCTGACTGCATTAACTTGATAGGCTCTAGAATCAAGCCTCAGGGCAGGCCTGTGAGGGATTCTAGAGTAAGTTAACTGAAGGGAGAAGCCAGACCTGTGCTTAATATTAAACATCATTATTCATAGGTTAAAATTTTGGACTGAATGAAAAGGAAACAGTGAACTAAGCACTGACATTCATTTCTCTCTGCTTCCTGACTGCAGATGCAATGTGACCAGCTGCCTCACACACCTGCTACCATGTTTCCCCTGCCTCAGATTGTGAGTCAAAATAAACATTTTTAAAAACTTGAGTTGCTTCTCGAGTGTCTTGTGTATTAGCCACTTTTTTGTTGCTGTGATAAAATACCTTGTCCAGAAGCAGAAGCAACTTATAGAAGGAAGGTTTATCTGGGCTTACAAATCCAGGGGACATCGTTGCAGCAGGCATGGTGGCAGAAACAGCTGTGAGACCACTTCCAGATTAGCAAGCAGGAAGCAGAGCATATTTAGAAAGATGCAAGTCTTTAAACTCTCAAACTCTCCGGTGTCATCCTTCCTTCAACAAGGCCCCATCTCCTAAGCCTCCCAAACAGTGCCATCATTTGGGGACCAAGTATTCAAATGCCTGAGATTTATGGGGGACATTTCTCATTCACTCAATGACATCCACAGCAAGGAGAAAGGTCACTGTGGTGGTATGAATAGTACCCCTTGCAGACTCATATATTTGAATGGTTGGTCACCAGGGAGTGGCACTATTTGACAGGGAGGTGTGATCATGTTGGAGTAGGTGTGATCTTGTTGTAGGAAGTGTATCAGTGGAGTGGGTTTGAGATGTCAAAATCTCCAGTCAGGCCCAGTGTCCTCCTTTCCTGCTACCCAGAGATCCAGATATAGGACTTTCAGCTACTTCTCCAGTACCATGTCTGCCTGTTTGCTTCCATGCTTCCCAAAATGATGACAATGGACTAAACCTCTGCAACTGTGAGCCAGCCCCAATTAAATGCTTTCTTTTTATAAAAGTTGCTGTTGCAATGATGTCTCTTCACCGCAATAGAACACTAACTAAGAAAGTAACTAACACAAGGCCCACCAAATTATGGAAGATAAAACTACAAAGTCCATAGTAAATAAAACTCATTCAAAATCATCAATTCAGAAATATCTAAAGTATCCAGGCATAGCAGCACACACCTTTAATCCCAGCACTCAGGAGAGGCAGGCAGATCTCTACGAGTTTGAGGCTAGCATGATCTACAGAATGAGTTCCAGGCCAACTGGAGCTAGACAGTGAAACCCTGTCTCGAAACAAAAAAAAAACAAAAAGGAAGGAAGAAATGTCCAGAAGAGTGATGTTCGACCAGGTGTCCTGACCCTATGGCCCAAAAAAGTAGACATAAAATTATCCACTGCAGACACCAGGAACACTGCCAAGAGAAAACAGTGACATAGTAACAGTGGCAATGCTCAGGCAGTCAAGATGCCTTAAAGTCCCCTGAGATTATGGTGGGCATTTTGGAAGGATTGCAGCTTAAAAGTTAAGGCATCAAATAGAAATGGAATTTTAGAGAAACAATATTTAAAAGGTAACAGCGTTAGTAAATAAGTATACTAAGCCTCTTTCTTTCTTTTTTTTTTTTTTTTTTTTTTTTTGTTATTGTTGTTTTCAATCCCCAAGTCTCAAAGCCTCAACACCCAGTCTGCTCCTGTGCAGTGGTACCCTAACCAGGCGCATGGGTCGATCCCATCTGGGCAGCAAGCCCGGTGTCCCGCCCAGGCAGCACTAGCCACACCCGAACGGCCCCGCCCCGCCCGTCTCTCTGGACACTGAGGGCAGGTTCCACAAACTGTTCCGGCGGGGCTGCGGGGCAGTGTGAGTCGCTCTCTCCTCCCACAGAACGTGCCCACGCAAGGCCAGAAAAGTCGCCAGCCATGTCATCTGCGGAGGTGGGGGATGTTTTCCACAGAGCCCGGGGCAGGACCCTGGACGCGTTTTCCTCAGGTACTGCTTGGCTCTTCGCCCGGGAAGGGGGACTGCAGAGCTGCGGAACCCTCCGCGCAGGCTACCTTCCGGTCATGGCGCACACTTCCAGCCGGACCCCTTCGCCGGTTGCACTGGCACCGGGCGACCTCTGTAAGAGTTGCAGCTTCCTGCCAGTGCTGGGTTCTTCACTGGCCTTGCCCTGACCTTGCAAGCAAAAAAAAAAAAGGGAAAGAAAAAAAGAAACGGAAGTCGGGTGGAGATGGCAGAGAAGTGGATAACTGCCTTGGCTTTGCCATGGGAACTATTTTCAGACTTCTTTGGCTTCCTCACCCGTAGAACTGGACCCTGCGAGCTTATGAAGGCACCTGACAAGGGTTGGTTGCCTGTCAGAGGTTGTGACTTTTAAAATTGTATTTTATGCCCCACAATTCCGGCTGTTTAACAGTAGAGAGGGAGGGCAATCTGGGTCCTACTAACTTTCTTGGACTTTGGTATTATCCTCAAAGGGAATGTTAACACATTGAGGCTATTTTTGTAACCTAGGGTGGAACATGTGCTAGCCTTGAGCTACTCAGAGGGAGCATGATTGGTTTCTTGTCCCCTCTGTTTTGTTTGGGTCTTTGGGATTGATCCCTCTCAGGTACTTAGCTTAGACCCACAGGAAAGTTCACCCCTCTTGACTCTTGCAGTCCTTTCTTGCTTCCAGTTTTCATGAACTGATCTGAAAAAAGAAGCAGGCTGGTTCCAAACCCTGGAGGGCCTTGGCACCTGCTCTTCTCTGCTCTCACGGCCCCTGGTGAGACTGTGAAGTCTGGCGCCTTCTCATCCTTCACATCCTATTTTCAACTTCATTTTTGGTCGTACTTCTAGTTGCCTAGCCAAAGTAGATCAGTCTTCCAATTCTCTCGTAGGTCTTTGGTTCTTTTCCCTCTTTACAATTCAAGGTTCTTCAGGAGTGCACAGTCAAATATCCACTTGTGGTTGACTGGGAAAAGTGCAATCCACTATGGTACCATTTTTCTACAATTTTTAATGTGTCTTGATTTTGGTTGTTTTTTGAGATCCATTCATATTACTGTAAGTAGTTCTCCTTATTTCCTCGTGGGCAGTATTCTATGGGTTGTACATTTTCTTAATGGATGTGCTGAGCCTTCTCCAACCTGGTGTATTTCTTCCCTCTTTCCATCTCCAAGTTTTCCACAGTGCTCTAGGAGAGTGGCTGCTATGGACAAGCAACAGTGAATTCTTTGCCCTAGACTTCAGAAAGTCTTGAGAGCTGGGCAAGGAAGAGACTCAGCTGATGGGAAGCTCCCACAGGGTATCTGGGTGAAGGGAAAACAAAACACCAGCACATTTATTCCTGCATTTGATACCCTTCCAGGATTCCCTTTTGCAGGTTGTATTCCTGCTCCCCTGTGTGCCCTGCTTCTCTCCTCAGCAATCTCTCTCTCTCTCTCTCTCTCTCTCTCTCTCTCTCTCTCTCTCTCTTTAAACCACCAGACACTTTTTATAGATTGTGGCATCTGAGTGACAGTAGCTCCATCTTTTGGTGGCTAAACTTCCCTTCTAGTTTCTTTACATTCAACCCATCCCAAATAATCCCTTCAAAGATGACCCCAGAATTTTCCTAATTTTAGTATGTTAACTATTTCTTTCTTGGTCCTGACTGGTACAATGACCATTTGGTTATTTGCTTTTCCTTCTTGTTAACAATGTTGTAATAAGCCTTCTGTAGACACATGGGAGAATTTCTTCAGGAGCAAGAGTGTGGGTTCTAGGTGTGATCACTCCCAGATTTACCAGGAGTCATCACATTACCTTCCAGAGGGTTGTATCCATCCATGTTCCCTTCAGCAGACAGCAGAGTTTCCTGCTATAGTTCTTTTAAGTCTGAGAGTCACTTGGCATGTCTCCTTTATATTCTCTAGTAAATTGTGGAGTATAGAAGAAGGGTGACAAATTTCCCACCCTCAGGCTCCAAATCTAGGCACAAAGCTGTGGCACACAATAGTAATCCCTGGCACTCTGTGGCCACTGCAGTGGGAGGAGTCAGGATTGTAAGTACTTGGCCATGCTTGATGGCTGGGCTGGCAGGGGGGTGGGGGGAGGTGGGGGACATTGATTGGCATCAGAAAGTGGATTTGAGATATCAACTGGAACTCTGAACACTGCAAGTTTTAGAGAGTAGGGATGGGGTTCTTTGCTAAAAGATTTGGATGCATTATTGTGAAGGGGGACAGTGTACCCCAGTGGGTGGTGCCTGTGTGTTGTCTGTAGTGTGTTTACTATTCAGGCAAATGTAGCACACATCAAAGATCCAAAAGCAGAAATAGCCAGAAATTCTGGAAAAACCAGCAGCCAATCTTGGCACCAATCGAGGCAGGAAGGCTTCGTTCAGCAGGAAGGCAGTAGTGTCAGATGCCACAGAAATGTATGTGAATGTAAACTGAGCTGCTGATTCACTGGTGCTCCCTAGGCCATTGTGGGAAGTCAAGACCTAAGTCTGTAGAGACAGATGTCACACAACCATCCAAGGAGTTCAGATAACTCAAGCAACTGTCCCTACTTTACACTGTGCTCATAGTCCCAAATTAGCCCTCCATTCCCCCAAATGAAGAGGTGATTTACCTGAGTGACAGTATTCCTGTTTCTCTGGGCATTTGGTAAGAGAGACTTAGTTTCTACTGTCCTGTTAACAAAATCTGCTCTGTTCTGCTGATGAGGTTTATAGGAAATAAAATGTAAATATCTCACCTGAGCAAGTTTATGTTCCTAAGTCCTGTTCAGACACTCATTTCAATTAGGAGAATTGATAACTATAGTTCCTTGACACATATCCTAATTAGGACTTTTTCTACATGTAACTGTCTTCTCAGAGATTTACTCCATCTGTTCTGAAGGAATTTTGAAAGGTAGAAACCAGGACAGAGGTGCTTTTAAAAATAGTACTTAAGGGTCAGTAAGATGGCTCAGAGGATAAAGGTGTTTGCCACTTTGATTTTGAGAGCTCACATGGTAGAAGACCAACTCTCATAGATTGTCTTCTGTGTGCTGTGGCATGTATACACCAACACCCACACAAAGCAAATAATAAATGTAATAAAATTCTATTTAATTTGTTCTGAAGTACTAAATTTATTTTTTTCTGAACACCCCCATCAGATATTTTTACCTCCTTGGGTAACTTCCTTTAAAAGATTGTTTGGGGATCTGGGGAGATGTCTCAACATTTAAGAATACTTCCTATTCTGTTAGAGGACTTGGCCTCAATTCCCAACAGCCAGGTCAGATGGCTTATGGCCAAAGGGATCTGGCAACCTTTTCTGCATTCCACAGGGTTTTTCCTCCCACTGCTGGTCTTGTCCCGCTGCTGCGCCAGCCCCAATTAATACATGGAGACTCTGTATTAAATATAATGCTGTTGACCAGGTACTAGTTTCTTATTGGCTAGCTCTGTCTTAATTATTAACCCATTTCTGTTAATCTATGTATTTCCACGTGGTCTTATCTTACCAGAGAGCGGGGGGGGGGGCTGCCGTTCTGTTCTCTCCTGTCTCTCCATCTTGACTCCTCCTTACTCCTTCTTCTTTCCTCCTTGTCTCCTAGTTCCGATCAATGTAGTATACACTCGCACAGGTAAACCCATAGGTATGCACAGAAATAAAAGAAAAAGTAATGATTTTTAAAGAATTTGTTTATCATTTTCCTGGACATTTTGTACCTCTGCAGCTGCCTTGTAGGAAGTGATTATCTTTGTAAATTTGGAACATTTCTTGGTCCTTCCTGTAAATCCTCTCACTGCAGACAATAAGTGGATTCTCAGTGGAAGTAATCAAGTTTAAGCAGTTGTAACAGGGCAGAAGATGAAGTGAGAGCTCCAGTTGTGCCTTTTCATTTAGAACGAATTAGTTATTTCTTATTTGAAGAGGGTTCTGTTCAATAAAAGCTGTGGGAATGAACGGACTTGGCCCAACAGCCTAAATCAATACAGAATGTAATCACAGTGGTGGAACTTGGGCTGGTTGTAGAAGACCCTGCAGTGATAACTGAGCAATAAGCTATTAACTAGGTGAGCTGCAGCTCAGTGACTGTTGGACTGACTATGCTGAAGCCAGTTAAATTGCTTCCTAGTCTTCACTTCTGCTTTACGCTACTCAGTTAATTGCTACCTGGACTGATGCTGGAGTTCTCAGAACCTGCTGGGTCTAAGAGCTGCCTACTCACAAGACATCTTTGTTTTGTTTTGCTTTGATCAACTAACTGAACTAAATTTAATTGGCTAAAGGAAGTTCCTATGATTAGGGTGTCAGCCCTTTCCCACTTCCTCATTGTAACAACCAGTTTAGGAATCCAGTGATCAGTGCACATTTATGTGTGTAAAAGGTCACACTTTTCAAAACACTAATTTCTAACAGAATTATTTTGCTTGTTTATTTGAAATATGTTCTAGCCCAAGCTGTTCTGGAACTAATGAGCTCCCTGCCTAGTCTTCCAAGTGCTGGGATTATTGATATGTACCATCACACCTGGTTGTGGTTTTGTTTGTTTGTTTATATTTTTTATTTAAATCTGAAACAAGCTTGTTTTACATGTCAATTCCACTTCCCTCAACCTTCCCACCACCCCTGCCACCCCAACCACATCCCATCCCGTTTCTGCTCCCCAGGGAGGGTGAGCGAGGACTTCCATGGGGAATCTTAAAAGTCTGTCATATCATTTGGAGTAGGGCCTAGGCCCTCCTCTATGTGTCTAGGCTAAGGGAGTATCCCTCTTTATGGAATGGACTCCCAAAGTCCATTCATATAATAGAGATAAATACTGATTCACTAGCAGAGGCCCCATAGACTGTCCAGTGCTTCTAACCAACACCCACATTCATGGGGTCTGGGTCAGTCCTGTGCTGGTTTCCCAGCTATCAGACTGGGGTACATGAGCTCCCCCTTGTTCAGGTCAGCTGTTTTATGTGGGTTTCTCCAGCCTGGATTTGACCCCGTTGCTCATCACTCTTTCCTCTCTGC